GAGAAGGAGAAGGAGAAGGAGAAGGAGAAGGAGAAGGAGAAGGAGAAGGAGAAGGAGAAGGAGAAGGAGAAGGAGAAGGAGAAGGAGAAGGAGAAGGAGAAGGAGAAGGAGAAGGAGAAGGAGAACGATGGCTTCCGAGAGCAAAGAAGTTTGGTTATCTGTGTTTTAGCTTCTCTTTTATTAATGACCCATGTCCCTTGAAATTTGTGAAGGCATTTTTGGCAGCACAGGCTGTCCCCAATTCATCAGGCTGGTTCCCCAGATAATCCATTTATTAAACTGTTTCACTCCAGCTTTTCTGATATAGGCCGTTTTCCGGCTAAATTCAGTACTCTTCCAAGACAATGCCATCTGATGCATGGAGCAAGATGGGGGAGGATGCGCATAACTGCTTCTCTCCAAACCATTCTGGAATGCTTTCTTAACATTTATGAGCACCAACAGCCCATTCAGATTTCATTTCAGCTGACCTTTTTTTTATTTAAAGCCAAGTTCCCTGTATATTGGGAGGAAAAGGAGGAGAAAGAATAAACTGCTTGAGGGGAGACAAGGTATGAGAAGGCAATCAACTACAAGTCTCCAAAACTTGTTTTTAATAGAGGAAACAAAACATCTTAAAGACAAATCCAGTACCCGTCTCTGGCATGGTAACTGTGGAAGAGTGAACTCACCCCCTGGAGCAAGCAGGCATTTTTTTCTTCCTGGAATTCAGAGTTTTGGTGCTACCTGGCAAAGGGGGTTAAAATAGCCCCACTCGCTCCTTCACTGGAGAGTTTGCTTTATAAAAAAGAAACCGAAAACGAGCATGGGTGTGGATGTGTCTAGGAAAAGAGGACAGCAGAGATGCGGGAAACGAAATCAAGCCGACTGCATGCAGCAACTCGGGTGTGGAGCTTCACAAACCAGCTTCAGAAACAGGACTGTGAGTGCTGGGGAGAGAGAAAAGCCTATGGTAAGTCAATAAAGGAGCAAAAAGGGTTTTCACATGCAGATGGACTGAGATTGGCTACAAGAGCTGAAGACCTGGGGGAAAAGGAAAAATTTAAAGAAGAAAGAGTTAAGAAAACAGAGTGCTACCCTAAGGAATAGGAGCATAGAAATATCAAGATAGAAATTTATAGATTAAATAAGGATAAAAATAGAACAGTTGTAAACTTGTAGAATAGGAAGATAGTAGAATAAGATAGGAGTTTAATTTTGTACAACGAAACAGCTTTGTGCAGGAAGAATAAATACAGTCTTTGTGCCTGTGCTCTGTACCAAATTTTTAAAAAAAACTCTAACAGTAACTAAGCACAGGTAATCTTATGCTCTAAGCAACCTGCATTCCAAAATTATTATTTTTTCTTCATCTTCTTGCTTTCCTACTGCTCCTGCTGCTATAGTTATTGCCATTTTTATTCAACTTTTTCAGAAAGGAGGGGAAAAAACAGAGGAAAAAAGAAAAAAAGAAAAAACACCAAGCAAATCAACAGAGAATTTACAAGCATAAAATTAAATTAGTTAGATAACAATTTTCAGTATTTTTATTTTTATTGATTGATTGATCATACTTATATTTCATTAGTTGGTTTGACGTAACTGAATATCTTACATTATTTTAAAAACTTGCAGGTTATTGTTAAAAAAAAAATCCAGTTGGCATATAAATATTAATGACAATGATCAGCACAGTATAACTCATAAAGTAAAATATTTAACAGATCATTGAAAATTAGAATATTTAGGGGAAACCCAAAAGGCTAACTCCTTAGGTTGGCTTTCTCCATAGCACCTCTAGGGGACCAGGGATATTCTTAGATGGCTCTTTCATTAATTTAGTCTCCCCTGTATCTGATGGATTGTATTTTTCAAATGACTATTTTATATTTGTTAATATTTTTTTGTATATATTTGTTGTTTTATTTTATTGTGGTATACTGCCCAGAATCACTTTGTGCAAGATGGGTGGCTTTATAAATTAAATTGATAGATAGATAGATAGATAGATAGATAGATAGATAGATAGATAGATAGATAGATAGATGGGGAAGAAATTTCCAACCTTCCCACTGGTGCCCAGAAACCTGATCCATGCAATATTTTGTGCCACACCCCTATCCAAGTTCCTTTACTACATGAGATCACTAGTGGAGAGATTCCAGTATTGTGTCTTGGGAATAAAAAAATGAGTTCTACATGCACAATTCTCATAAGCATGTGTAAATCATTTTTGTATGCCTTAGCACAGGGGACCCCATGTTCTTGTGGCTTGAGGGCCACACTAGGATTTGCACAAAGAACCAAGAGCTACACTCCAAAAGTGGGTGGAGTTTATGATTCCAATGTTGTGTTGAGTTCAGACTTTTTAAGAGGTGAAATGCTGATTTAAGCTTCTGCCCCTAAGCTTCCTCCAGCACTTCAAAATAAAAGGAAAGGCCCATGTTTTGGCTGTACCATCCCTAGAGGTTAGGGAGGACTCCAAAGGGGGGCTAATGGCGCTTTTTCATTCCTGGTTCCCCCCACCCACCGTATCTATGGCTTCAGTGCTACATGAGGAATAAGCCCCCTTGAACGCAGTAGGAATTCCTTTGGAGGGCAAATGAATACAGGTTAATGGTAAGTTTTATAAGCATTAGAACTATATAAATGGACTTAACTTATAGTTTTCTTTAAAAAAAACCTCCTTGAAATCTATAATGACTGCTTTATCTTTAATCCTCTTTAAGCATTCTGCCACACTCAGAATCACAGTCATTCAAATGGGAGAATATCTGTATTTGTATCAGACTTTTTTGTTTTCCCCCTTTTCTTCTTTTCTTTTTTTTTTAGGCCACCAGAGGAAATGTTGAGTGGGCATAATTGACAGAATCAGATGGAAGATACAGGGAGCACTCCCACTTTTGGGGAACACCAGCTGCCACTAAACTGGTTTTAAACCAAAAAAAAAAAGATTCAAAGCAAGAATATTTCTTTAAATGTCAAAATGTTTAAAAACTGTTGTCTTATATAAATAAATATTTATATAATGTATATTCTTTCCTGGGATGCATTGATACACTTACTGAATGCATTTTGCCTACAGTGGCCAGTTACATAATTTTAGACTCTGTATTTAGTGTATTTTCAGTGAAGAAATGTCATCTGATGGGTCCTAGGAAGTGTATCTGTATCCTTTGTCATAGTATCTACTTTATGGAACTACCTCCCCCTAGTGCAGTGTTGTCCAAACTTGGCCACTTTAAGATGAGTGGACTTCAACTCCCAGAATTCCCCAGCCAGCCATGCTGG